TAAAATGAGTAAAGTGTAGTGAACACACACAACAATTCGAGAAAAAGTTAGTAAACAAATTTTTACATAAAAGCTAAATTTCTATATAAAAACATTAATATATATACAATTTTAAATAACAATTTTTATTATCCATTATCATTATTATTCAAAAATTATTGCACATAACATTTCATAATTTAGCAGTTCTCTGAATGTATTCTAATACACGATAGTAAATCGATACTATGTACAATATATATGCAAACATATGTATACATTTATCCTACATTAAAGTTACTAAAAAAAATGATTTTAAAGAACATAAATAAGTTTAAAAATAAAAAGTTTAAAAATATATCTATTAAGTAATTGAATATAATTATAGTATTTGCAAATTGAAAATAGTAATAGAAAATAAATTTCGGAAATTTTATATATTAATTAAAATTAAAATTTAACTTTAAAATCAAATTCAATTTTTACTATATAGTATATACTATATGTTGATTTTGATCAATGTATACACATATAGAGTGGTCCAAATAAAGTATCATAAGTTGTTTTCTCAGAAACGAATGAAACTTTCAATTTCATTTTTTCTTATTAAATGATAAAAAATAATTAATTTCTCAATGTTGAACAAATTTTTTTGACATATCTATTAAAAATTAGATTTTTTTAGACGATTATTAGAGAAATAATATTAATTTTGTTATTTATATATTTTTTATTACTAAATAATATTTATTTAAAATATTATATTTTATTTTTCTCTTTTGTATGTAATTATAATATTATGGCAACAAATTTTTTTTTGAAAATTGGAAAAATGAAAAAGATGAAGAAAATAAAAAATATCAAGATATAATATTATTTTATTAAAATAATTAAATAAAATCAAATGATATTCATCGATTAAATTCTTATTAAGTCTTATATTTTCTTAAATATTTGACAATTTAATTGGAACAGAAACAATGCATATTTTTATGTTTGTTCAAGAGAATAGTTATGTATTTAATACATAAAACTTAATGTTCGAAAATTTACAGATATAATTTTGAATATTTAATAAAATGATTTACTATGATATACTATGATTTCTAATATATTTAATAAAATGATTTGCTATGATATATTATGATTTCTAATATTTTGCTTGTTTTTTTTTATTTTCCTTAGAAAAAATTGATTGTCATAATTATTTAATTATATATAATACAAAAATAAAATAATTAAATTGAATATTAATTTAAATAGTTTGATAAGAATTATTTGATAATAGAAAATTTATATTATTTTTCATTTAAAACTTCTATTCAAAAGGATTTTTATTTTTCCTCTAATATTAAAAATTTATTATATACTAAAAAATTAAAGCATGTATAACATTAAACATATATTTGCCAAATGAGATATGTAAATGTAGATATATTATAATATATATGTATATTATAATAATTATTCATGATGAACTAAAATCAAAAACCAAAGAATATCTTATATTGTAAAAAGATTAATGATTAAACAGTATTATCTTCCAGTTAATAATAGAATTATTTTAATGTTTTTGTAAATTATGATAATGTAATATAATTATCAGTATATCAGAATATATATTATATATAAATGCTAAATTACAGTAATGATTTATAATTTGTGGATTTTTAATTTTAAAATTAATAGTCATTTTTACCAGTTTTTGAAATCAAATTTTTTTTTTAATAGAAATTAGTATTTCTTATAAAAAAAATTTCAACATAATATTTTTATGAGATTCATATTAAAAAGATTAAATTTAATTCTTTGTATAATTAAAAAAGTGCAATAAAAAGAGAGAAGAAAGAAGTGCAAAAAATTAAAATTATTATCGGTTTTATCATATCATATGATAATCATCAAAAAATTAAATAAATTTATCATGTATTTATTATATATCATATAATTCTCTTTTGTTTACTTTACGTTGAATAAATTTTTCATTTTATTAAATATTTTTTTAATTTTTTAAATATTTTTTATGAATCTGATAAAAAATATTAAATAGATATTTTTTCCAAATAGTAAAATTCTATGAAGAAAAATGTTAAGTTCCATTAAAAAAAAATTGACTTTTTTATTTTTTAAAAAATAACTATAGAAATATCAAATAAATTAAAAATGAATACAGTTATATTTTTTCCTTAAAAGTTTCCTATGAGCTTCTGTATTTAATTTTTTTTCTCGTAAATGAGTTGTTTTTAAAATATTTACATTAAAATTTTCAAATGAACTCTATATAATGAATAAACATATAAATATGATAGATTTATTACATATAATAAAAATAAACATTGCAATCTGAAATTTAAAAAAATAATAGAATATATGGTATATATGATACATGTAAGATCTGATACAATATAAATAACATGTTTGAAACAATGAATGAATATAAATAAAAATATAAATAAAGATTTTAAAAGTATGAAAAAAAAAAATAAAAAAGAAAAAAATAGAATTTTCTTAAATATATTATAATAATTACAATGTTTTGCTAATTGTCATATTTTCTATTTATACCTTACATAGTTATTTTAAATAGTTTCAATGCTTTGAATGATAATGATATCGAAATAATGAAATCGAAATCACTTGAAATTATTTTTTTTGAATTTCTGCTTTGTATAAAGTATGTGATCTCTAATAATAAAATATGTCTTGGTCTGGTCACTAATCATGAGATATGCTTCAAAACAAATTTCATCATATGGAAGTACAAACTTTAAGACAAATCTCCTTGTGGAAACATTATTATCTTTACTGTTTCTTAAACTATTATCTATAATCTATAATATGATATCTATGATCATTATTTTACTAGTCATTAAAATAAGAAAAATAAAATTTTCATATTTCTTATTATAATTCTTAATATAATCATATTTGAATGAATACAAATTATATATATAATATATAATATATAATAAATTTGAGAAACAATATTTTTTTTTCTCTTTCACTTACACTTAATATTTCTTGCTCATATCTTCAACAAACTCAAAAGATGCCTAAACAAAAGAGATAATATAATCGATAATCTTATGTATTTATTTCGATAATTGATACATTATGAACTGTCTCTGTGTTAATTAATGAAACATGATCTGTATGTGTATCAAAATATTGCTGTAGCTTCTTTGAAAATTTATTTTCTTGACATGAATTTTGAAAAATTTTTTTAAATATTTTCTGAATATTTCTTGAATATAAATTTTCTGAAAATAATCTAAACTAATCATTATAGCATTATTATTTCTTGAATATGAATTTCCTGAAAATAATCCAAACTAATCATTAAATATATGTATATATATAATTAAGTATATATATATATATACTATAGGTATATATACTATATGTACTATAGGTATATATATATATATTATCAAAATTTATAATGCAAAAGATTAAATGCACACATGAGAAAAATTATTATATTTTAAATATATAATAATTTACATTAATACATATTTTGCATATGATACATATCTAGCATTTAGTATATTCATGTGAATAAAATAAATAAAAAATAGTTAGTTGGGAATAAATAGATCATTTAAACATCCATTTTCAACAAAATTGTTGAAAGTAAATTGATAGCATATATATATGTAGTTACATGATTATTATTTTATATTATTCAGAGAAAGTAAATAAAAAAGATAATTTTAGAGATTAAAACAAAGCCAGCAATTGGTAAACAAAAATGTCCGCTTTTATGTTTTAAGTTATAATCAATTTAATTTATTTAGATCAATTTAAGTGAAATAGTGTCACAATTCTATCTATATCATATTCTATCTTCATATATTTTATTTAATTTATTAATTAAAAAATTAAATTGTTTATAATTTAAAAAATAAATTTCAATTAAATATTTTTGTATATCATTTTTTGTATTTGTTTTAATTTTCTCTTATATAATCTTTAGTTTTTTTTTTTAATTTTATCAAAATATTCTATACGTATATTACACATTATCAATTTAATGAAACGAAACGGAACAAAACGCAACTAAACGAAACGAAACAAAACGTAATAAAATGAAATGAAACGAATCAGCAACGTATTAAACATAACAAAATGGATCAGGAGAAAATGCAAGAAATGAAACGAAATACAACGAAGCGGAATGCAATAAAAAATAACGCAATGAAATAAAACAGAATGAAACGAAATGTAACGAAACGCAACGAAACGCAACGAAATGAAACGCAACGAAACGCAACGAAACACAATGAAACACAACGAAACATAATGAAATGCAACGAAATGCAACGAACAAAACAGAACGGAATACAACGGAACGGAATGGAATAGAATGGAATGAAGCAGTATGAATCGGACCAGATCAAGTTGTATACATCATAGTATGACAGTGAATAGCATAAAGGAATAGTAGGGGTAAAAGTTGATTGAAAGAAGAGGAATAAATAGAGAATAATGTAACGTTGGTGAAGGAAACGTTATACCAGAAGGTTCAATGTTCTCCCACTCTTGAGGCCCAAGCTTTCAGTCTGTTCGTGTGGTCAGTTTAGTAATTACGCGGCAAGGGATAAGTTTGGGTATACGCAGTACTTGTAATATGTAAAATAAAAAACTTTGGGTGTGGCATTTATTTTTATAATGTTTACTGTGAAACTATTAGCAATTTCAATGTTGAATATTATTAATTATTAACTAAAATAAAAAAAGTGTAATTTGTAAATTGAACAATATTTATAAAAATCTTAAAATTTTTTTCGTTAACGAAGTGAATTATAAGTTCATTATTGTATATTTATATTTAACTGAAAATATTTTTTGAAAGATAAAAAAAATGTTTAATAATCGACAAGTTTTTATAAACATATTTTTAAAGTATCGATTGAATTTGTGAAATTTATGTGTGCGTTTAACAAACAAATGTTTCATGTACATCATAAAAAGCAATTACATATCTCCTAATAAGAACAAATTATATTTATTATTTTTAGAAATTTATATTTGCTTCGTTTGATATACATTTCTGAACTTTAAATCAAGAAGTTTTTCTTTTGAAGTGTTTAGTTTTATTTGGATAGATCATCTTTCTTTTTCTTTATATTTTGCTTGACTGTATTAGAAGAATGACAATCTCGGAAGAGTAAGTACGATGATAGTTTCTGTGCTCTTTCAATTTTTTTATAACTTTTACTATTTCAATTGTATTTGTTGTATAAAAAGAATATGTTTTGAATATTTCTTTAACATGATTCTCTCACAAGAAATTCTTTCGAAAAAATTTCTATTTATTATATTATTTTGGTTATTGCATTATATTAGTTATTAGTTATTTAATCTATAAAAATATGAATAATGAAAAAATATCTGTTTTTAAATTTGTGCTTTTACACACACACATACATACACAAAAAAAAGAGAAAATAGAATTTTTTACATTTAATTGATAAAGTAGATATAGATTGTTTTATATAACATTTATATTTTCATTCTTCACATTATGAACATATAAATATTTAATTATATATTCAGAATGGATATATATATGCAAGTACATATGCGTAAAACAGATGGGAGAGAAGCTCATAATGAAGGCACATAATATATAGTGCTGTATATAGGTGTGTTCTTGTATAAAAAATTTGAGGACAACGAAATGTTTAAAAGTGTAAGTGATATGAGAAAAAGAAGCATGCGAAAAATCGCGGAAATTACTAAGTGTATATGAGAGGTACTCAAGCGTGTTCAAATTACTCAAGCGCACTTTTAAGGCTTTAAGACTGACTGTTGTCGAAGAAGATTGGAATGCATGGTATGCGACTTATTCGTTGGATGTGTTTCACTTCGACTTAAACCGATTTTATTCGAACATTACCGAGAATATCCGAACCGAGTCGATTACAACCGATTCAAAAACCGACCCTTTTCCTGACAATTGTAACAACTTCTTTCACTTTGTTAGTAGCTTATAATTTTTTTATATATTGCAAACCTAATTTTAAATATTTTTAAATTATGTATGATTTTTAAAAATATTTTTTTATAAATATATATTAAACATTTAGTATAAAAATAACATTTGATATAAAAAATATTTTTCATTGATAATTGAGAATTATTTGTATATATATATTCATTATAGAAGAATCGTTTTTCAATTAGGAATTGTTTGTATAATATCATATAATTTATATATTGTTTGTATATATGCATAATATCAAGAACAAATACTGCTTTAAAAATTATTTAATGTATTATGAGAATATTTTAATTTGTAATTTAATTTGATTTAATAGAAAAAATTACTTTGAATGTACTGCAATAAAACATTTGTGTAATGAAATCTTTTGATTATAAGTAAAAACAAAATTTCACTTGTTATCTTATAAATTTAATCGATTGAAATTTGATTAAAGAATAATTATTAAAATATTTAAACATAATTTGAACACATGTTAAGTTTTTCTTGAGAATTGATTAATCAATAAGCAATTAAGCATAAAAAACAATACAATTGGAATAAATATTTTTATTGAATGTTTGAAATATTTTTAAATTTTTATCTATGTTTGAAATATTTTTAAATTTTTATCTATGTTTGAAATATAGTAAAATATGTAATACAATGATGGATGAAGGTTATTAATAAAAACATAGCGATAAAAAACATATTATATTATATATTGGTGAAACATTTTATTTATTTTTGATTATATATATATATTTTTTATATTATATATATATTGATTTTAGAATGGCCACAGAATTGGCAAATAAAAAAGCTGAGCGCGAAGCTCTGCGCGGCGTTATTCAACAATGGAACGCTAATAGATTGGATTTGTTTGAACTCTCAGAACCAAATGAGGTAAATTATTGTATCAATCACGTCAGACTTTCCTGTTCTTAGATTCAATGTTCAAAATGTATATACAATATTTATTTGCTTTTTTCAGGACTTGGAATTTCATGGAGTAATGAGATTTTATTTTCAAGATAGTGGTCAAAAAGTTGCAACGAAATGTATTAGAGTAGCATCGGATGCAACAAGTCAAGCGGTCATCGAAACTCTTATTGAAAAATTCCGTCCAGATATGCGAATGCTTTCAGTTCCAGAATATGCACTTTATGAAATTCATGAAAATGGTGGTAAGTATAATAAAGATAAATTTATATTAAATTTAAATATTATGTACAATCAATTACAATTCATCTATTCTCTTTCTTATTTCTTTTTATTATTTCATTTATTTTATTTATAGAAGAACGTAAGCTTGGATTTGAGGAGAAACCATTGTTAGTGCAATTGAATTGGCACATCGATGATCGCGAAGGACGTTTTTTGTTAAGAAGAATCGATGATAAGACTAACGCTCAAGGTGTTGGTTTTTCTTCTTCAGATGGATCTAGTTTTCGTAGAAAATTGAGTAAACGTGAAAAGAAACAAATGAAAAAACAAGAAAAACTCAGTCGTTTAAAGAGTTTAGAACAAGATGAGAATAGTATACCCGTTGATCAAAATGGAGTAGCTGAAAAACTTTATACAGGTATAAGTTTTTTGTTATGAATATTGGATATTTGTGAAATGATATGTTGATACATTGAAATATAATTGTATAATAATACAATAATGTTTGCTTTAGAGTTACCTGAAACGAGCTTTACCAGAAGTATTTCAAATCCAGAAGCTGTGATGAGAAGGCGACGTCAACAAAAATTGGAGAGAAAATTGCAACAATTTCGCAGTAAAGATGGTGGTCCTGATACTGGAGGAACATTGAAGATTTATGGTGAAGCACTTTGCAAAGATGTTCCCTATAAAACTTTGCTTTTAAGTGTTCGAGATTCAGCAGTTCAAGTCGTACGAGAAATGCTTTCCAAATATGGCTTAGAGAAAGTTGATCCACAACAATATTGTCTTGTACAGGTCAGTTGAATATTTTTTTACGATTTATTTACTACAAAGATAGATTTTTTTTATTCTTATGTATTAATATATATATATATATATATATATATATATATATATATATATATATATTGTGTGTGTGTGTGTGTGTGTGTGTGTGTGTGTGG